AGCTAATTATTGTCTAGAATGGAGAAAAACAAACAGTACAGGATCCACAGCAGTACCACGTAAACACCTAAAAAAATCAATCATGATACTCATTTCAAGATTGCTGGCTTAGAGTATGACTCAGTCTATAAAGTAAAACTCTTTCCTGTCAGCAGATGGGGAGACAGTAAGTTAGAAATGCACAATAAGCCAGATATCAGAACATTTAAAACAGAGACTGGTAGGTACCTTTTATTAACATGTTATGCACCCGAAGTACATTACAAAAGGTAGTGTTTGAGGTATAGTACATGTACATGTAAGTAGATATACATTTGAAATTTGTAAGAAAAATTATTTTAACATTGGTAATATTTTTACAGGTTTACCTCCTGGCAAACCAACCATCACAAATAACGAAAGTGAAGTTGACAAGGAGCTCACTCTGAAATCGTCACCACCAGAGGCAAAGAGAAGTGATTTCCAGCCTTCGACTTACCGTCTGGAATGGACAAAAAAAACACTTCTAGCAGAATTCTCAGAAATGCCACAAAATGCAAAAACTGATGAAACTCACTTCAAGATTGCTCATCTTGAGTATAACTCAGAGTATGAAGTGAAACTGTTTGCAGTCAACCAACAAGGAGAAAGTGAGCCAGATGTCAGAAAATTTAAGACAAAGACTGGTATGTACCTTCATTTCACATGTTATGCATCAGATGAAATACATTACAAAAGAGTGTTTGAGATAAAATACATGTATATGTAAGTAGATGATACATTTGGAATTTATGAGAAAAATTATTAATATAACTGATAATATTTTTATAGGTTCACCTGGCAAACCAACCATAACAAATAAAGATATTGAAGTTGACGAGGAATTTGCATGTACATGTACATTGTACTTGTGTCTTTGAATATCCCTTTGAACATCCCATTGGAATTTAAATGTATTAGAAACGAACTTTACCAGGAATCATCAATTTTAATAGGTGCACCTGACAAACCAACCATTACAAATAAAGGAGATGAAGTTGATGTGGAGTTCACTCTGACCTGGTCAACACCAGTGGATTTAAACAACAGTAAGCTGAGCCCTACTTACCATCTGGAATGGAGGAACCTCACAACAGGAATCACGAAGTTTGGTCTCAACATTGTTGCGAATCAGTTCAGCATCACTGGCCTTGAGTATGACTCAGTGTTTGAAGTGAAACTCTTTGCAGTCAACAAACAGGGAAAAAGTGAGCCAGGTGTCAAAAGATTTTCAAAAACGTCTGGTATATATCTTAATTTACAATTTACTGGCAAGTTTATATTTATCTGTATGACATATTGTTGTTGAGTTTCACAAATCCTGCACTAGTTATGACACATACATCAACCCAAATTATGAAACTGCTTTCTCAAGCAGGAACGCTGTCATAAAAAAAAAGAGTTGCCTGTGTTGCAGCCATTGTTATATATACCGGCACTGCACAGCTTTACACACATGAAACACGCGTATAATGCTGCTATTNTTTTTATAGGTTTACCTGGCAAACCAACCACCACAAATAAACAATTGCAAGGTGAAGTTGACAAAGAGTTAGCTCTGAACTGGTCACCACCAGAGGTAAACAGTAGTGATTTCCAGCCTGCGACTAGAATGGACGAAAAAACACAACCTCCCGCAGGATCCAGAGAAATGCTACAGCATGGAAACACTGATAAAACTCACTTCAAGATGGCTGATCTAAAGTAACAACCCGCTTTAGCGTTTCCTTTTTTGAGAGATGGGAACTCAATACTTCTTTATAAAGAAAATTTGCAAAATTGTCGCGGAACAATGAGTTTACTACCTCTTTTTAATTTAATCAAGGACGAACTTCAAGGGAAATGTCTGAACTCACGTTTTGATATATTTCTGTTTTGTTTGTTTGTTAGTTTTGATTCTGTTCCAAATGAGTTATTATGACGTTTTGAACCTTGATTAAAAATCAGTAACTGCAAAAAAAGTATTTTGATCAGCTCTGCTACACCTCGTTTCGAAGCGCTTTTTCTATTCCGGCTTTGAGTCCCCCCTCGGAAACAAGCCCATCTATTTATAAGCCTACTAAAAACCGCTTGCGAAGTTAGATAAACCCAGCGCTTATAAGTGGCAGTTTACAGAGTGCTGCGCTGAATACTGGAGACTTTTACTGGATCGTACTCCTCGCCATTTTTTTTTCCTGCGTGCGTTTATAATTAAAAAGTTTAATAAACTTTTACAGAGGATGTACAAGTATGGACGCAAGTAGGCTTTTAATTCTTTGGCTCTTCATCCCATTTGCTACCATGCAGCGAAGAGTGTTCACATCACTGACCATCTTTTTATTTGAGTTAAAACTTTTGATTGTCAGTAGCTTCCTGGCCTTCGCTAATGCCTGTATCAGGGGTTTCCAGATCATAATAAAATTTGCTTGGTGAATGATCATCTTCGTTGTCCTTCAGTCAAATCTGTCGTTTGGTGACTCGTTTAAAAAGTCTCGTGCACAGAAAAAGAATATTTGCAGGTTTCTTCTTTTCAGTTTTAATTAAAAAGTTTGAATTTGCCAGCAATCGAGGAAATAAATGCACGGCTAACGATTGTTTCCGTCAATACGCAAACAGTTTGGCTCTCGATGTTTTAGGGGGGAATTTGTGGTGATACTTCAACATATTTTTCGCTGGACCAGTCGAACCCGTCTAAGGGATATGGTCAAGAGTGTACGTTGCAAAATTGGACGATTATTAGTCTTTCTTTATGATGTCACGAAGCACCCAAACATGAAAAAGAGAAAGGAATGCGCTATGTAGCACTAAAGATTGAAGGGAAAAGGTGTGATTCCGACTCGATCTTGTTGATTGCAGTTGTATTCATGCAATCGTGTTAAACGTCTCATTGTTGAAATCCTATTGTCAACTGCAGGGCCAGTTGGCAAGTCAAGCAAAGATCCTTGAATGCGAGATGGAATTTCAGCAATTGCACACGCCGCCATCTGCACTATGGCGTTCAAGAACGCAAATCCGCTTCTTCGTCGATTGGCAGGCATTTTCACGACATCCATTCTTAGGAAGAATTTCAGCGTTTTAAAGAAGTGTACAACTCTCTGAAATGTTTTTGTTCAAGAACTGAGACCTGTTCTAAATGTACAATTGGACTAAATTCGTGCAAAAACTACTTATTTTTTTATCTCTTTGTATGTTCTTATTGTCCGTTTTTTCCTACAAAAATTAGTAGACTTCTCACACCCCTAGATATATTTCCTGGTGACATTCTTGCCATTCACTTGAAAATGACCGAGGTTTGGTCGAAACGTCGTAACATTTTACCCGTTGAATTTTTATTGTCAAAACTTTTAAGAAACCCTTACTGCAGAAAAGAAGCCTAAAAAAATTCAGGCTTCGGTGCGATATCAAAACCCGCGACTCCCACCAGTTAGGTGTTACTGCCAAATGTATATACTAGACAGTGAGATAATAAAGCATTAAAAAAAATGATTTAACTCATCTAATATTGCAACTATTAAAACCTTTTCAGCTCTTTGCAGTCAACAAACAGGGAAAAAGT